AGTGTATGCTTCAATTAACCATCCAAATTGGAACTTGAATAATATCCCAAGTTTTCAGTTAACAGTCTTTTTTAAACCAGATACAAAGACATTTAAATAATTTATTTTCAAGATCCTTACTCACATATGCAAAACCTTGTCCATATAAATAATTTGTCTGATTATCAAAATGAAATAATTAAATCAATGATCTGCCACCATCAGATATATACTGAGTATTATAAAAGGTTCTCTACTATAGGCAGTACATACTGCATTACTATAAATATGGTATCAAAATTTAATGCTGTACTAGAGAAAGCTGTTCGCAGAGAGCAAACTAAAACTGTTTCAGACCAAATCTTGTACTAAAACAGTAAGATGAAACTTCCGAAGCACCATAAAGCTGCTAGGCTCTTGCCATGGGGGCTGAGTGACTGTCAAGTACACCTTTAAATATCTGTGGTTCTTATGTGCGGAAAAACCAGTGATGCTCTATCTCTACAGAAAGTTAAAAGCAGTCTTTCCAGTAAAGAGTGGCTGTTTCGTTCTTACGGTAGTGCCTGAAATCATACAGACAGATTATATATACATGCCTATTGTTGGATTTGTTTGGTTTCCATATTTCCAGGCCATCTCGTAATTTATTGCTGCATCCTTATATGCTTGTTCCTTTTCCATTATGTATCCCATGTATTCGTAAGCCTTGCAGCACGACTGCAAAATATAAGTATCCATCCATTTAGGTCAGCTTATATATAACAATTTCAACAGCTTAACTGCTTAAATACTTTAAATCTGTAGAACTGGAAAGCACAAGTGATACCTGTACTAACTTTGGTGACAAGACAGTCTTGACCTAAAAACCTGTAATATAAATCAGTCATACGGAATTCTGCACAGCAACTTCCTAAGTTACTCTGAGTCAAGTACAGGGTTCACCACAGTGGACACTGCAACTACTCCTTCAAAATTATTTAGAGCCTCCAGGAACCCTGTAGGCACCTCTCTCAGTTAATAACCCTACAGTCACCACATTTCAAGTCCAGTCGGAAAGCATTCTATCTTCCACAAATGTTTCATTTTTTCTTAACAAGGTATTTTCATAGCCTTATTTTGGAAGCTGTCTTACATTATAATTTTCCACTTAAAGCTAAAGACAGACACAAATATCCTGAAGAGAACATCAACCATTAAATATTTCATTTTGTATAACTCCAAGTGGCAAGTTACAAGCATTTGAAAAACAGGTTCCAAAAACTATTAAGCAGTAGATGAAAATACTGGTCTTGCTCATGCTACACACACATATAAATCAATTTAACTCCATAATAAAAGTTAGTAGGAAAGATACAGTAATTCATACAGAAATCTTCTAGTACAGAAAGCAGGAGAAGAATTACAAAAATAAGCAAAATTCTTAACTACCATAAGCCCTTACTGTGAACAGGTTATACTCTCATGCTGCCAATAGGTCAAATATTTTCAAGAGAAAATTGAAGCTTTTATGAAAATATGCACCTTTTTTTTTTAACATAGGCAAAGAAATGCTGATATATAAATTAGATTCCATCTTTAACTCCACTATTTCCAATTAGACTTCCAAAATGTACTGATGAAAAGCCTCCAAATCACAGCATACTGGGATAAGCAGTATTGGAATGCCTGGAAGATGAGCATAAAAATATACTCCCCCTCTCATTTGTGATAAATGAAACAAAATTCAAATTCAAGAAGAATCATCAGCAAGGAACCATTTTCATTGAAACAGTCAGCTCATCAGGATCCCACATCATTCAGTTGTGACTTCCGAAAACAATCCTACAAACTCATCACATAAATGTGTTTTCTCAAGCTAAGCAAATCTTCCAAATTGGAGAATACCATGTAAACTATTGTCTTGTGAATTAACAAGACATTTTAAGATCTAAAGTATTCAATATCTTTGTATAGTACAATTCCTGCTTAGCTGCTTTGCATGCAAGTTGGAGAAAAGTCAGTAACTTCACTGCGCTGTTTTTGTTAAGGAACCAGAGTTGCAGACTTCTAATTTGCCATCCTCCTTCCTATCAAGCAGACCTTGTTTATCTAAGGCCCTTAAGGGCCTCAAAATTTTTAACGAGAACAAATTACTGGACAGGCTATGTTTTTAGAGCTGCTTGGGAACTTCTGCAAAGTGTCATTTGTGGTATGTACCTGTTCAACAGACCACCTGTTTGAGGACATGTCTTATTTTGGGAGATGATTCATTTTTATCCTCTAGTGGCATGGATTTTGCCACTTCCCTTGGCCATCTGGACAAGTGTGTAACTGTAAGGTAGATTTTTTTCTTAACTAAATTCAAACTCATTTTCATTTTTACTGAGTAAAAATGAAAATGAGTACATCCTATTTCATGAGGCATCTCTGCAGAAGCACATGATACCATTATACCAAGAACTGCTGTAGCTGCCTCTTAGTTTTAAATTTAGATAGCGTACAAGTTCAAAAAAGTGTACCTCTCAAGGAGGTTGCAGAAGTGTGACTGAATAACAAACCTTACCTTCTATACTGAAAAAAATCAGAAAAAGAGATATACAGCATCAGGTCCTTTTCCAAACCAACTCTGGGCACTGTAAACAGTATCCTGAATCTGCAGCACAGTTATTTATGAAAGACTTGCCTATTGGATGTGCCTCACGTGAAGAAAAGAGAAGTGCAAAGATAGAAAACTGTCATCAGCAAAAAGGGACAAAGAGAAAAATAAGCGCAAGAGCTAAGATTTCCACTTGTTCCTATAGTCAAAGCAGAGTATTGGGCAGTTTGTCTGCTCAGAAACCCTGAGATAAAAAGCATTAAGAGCTTGTCCCCAGACAATCCAGCAGACAGTATCTTCACAGCAGAGGATTAATACTGGCACTAAAAAAAAAGAAAAACCTGTATAGTAGCAGGTTTATAAACATAAATGTCTAAAAACATGTTTTAAGATATGAAAATAACATCTCTTAATAAATGGATCAAGTCTCCAAAATTTATACAGCTACATCTTTCTTCATCAGGTTTGCAAGACTCAGTAAAATGCTTCTCTAACATTCCAGAAACACCTTAAGCTTCTAGTATCACCACAGCTAAAACTTGCATAAGTTATTAGAGAATATGAATGAAAAAGACAGCATTCACAGGTTTGTTTACTACCCTCCAGTGTAAAGTTGCTAGTTTCCTGGCTTGTTTTGCTCTACTTCTCCTTAATAAGCAAAATACCAGGCAACTCAAAAAAGAAATACATTTCAAAATCATGTTTCAGATTAAAACTAAACATTTAGATGAATTAAACCATAAGGTTAATAAGGTTGCTTTTAATGTACATTCACTTACCCTGTTATGACGAAGGCATCGTTTTAACAATTCACCTGCCATATCATATTTTGCAGATTGAATATATATATCTGCAAGCAGAAGCCAACTCTTTTCAAATTCCTCTGCATCAATGGGATTCCAGCTCATTTTTGCAATCCGTTTTAACTGATTTCTGGCCCGTGGAGTCTGTTTCAAGATCATGTAGGCTGTGGCCATTCCCAAAAGTGCTGGTATATGATCCTTCTGCAGTAAAAAGCATAGCAACTGCTTGGTGCTCTTTTATTTTGCTTTTAATAGTTTTTTAAAGTAAGACTTTCACCAGGTGAAAGTTCACCAGTGAACCAAGAAGCTGAATCTCAGGAAATGAAGACAGAACAATCTTACAAACACGTTTTCCACCTAGTGCTATGATTATTTCTGTAAGACTAATCATGATAAATACCACGTTAAATAATTAAGAGCCTGAATACAAGTTTGGGCTCAAAAATATCTTCAGGCTCAGGAAATGCTGAAAGCATCCACAGGTATTTCATCTCAACAAGAAACATTCTAATACCACTGAGATCTAGCCTTTTGATACACAAATATATACTTCAGAAAGAAATTGAACTCACTTGAAGTTACAAGGGTATTTTCTACTTTTAGAAGATCCTGTCAAGTGCCAATTATCATTAACATTAGGTGTACAGCTCCTAAAAATGTAAGTCTAAACTGCCTATATCCAAAAGCTACGTCTAACAAACAGGATTATTAAAAGCCAGTATTCTACGCAAGAGCCTCAGGAAAACAGTAAGATGTACAGGAGCAAGTGTGATTTTTGAAATCCTGCCTTTATTAGCATGGGGTATAGATGAGAATGGGGCTCACATCCCAAAACTGCTTCCTAAAGGCAGAGAGTAGCTCTATCAGCAGCTAACTTAGAAGCTTCTTTCTCCCTCTCTGTGTTCCTGGCTCACTATTGGTATTCTGCCTCTACGCCTCTTTGTTGGGCTATGCTGTAAATAGGCTTGCCATAGGGTTTTTTAAAAAAAAAAATAATAAAAAAAGACCCTACCAAAACCCCCTCTTCCACATAATGATCAGCTCATCCCCCCTCTCCCTCAATAGTCACACCTAGCATGGCTGAATAACCTCTGAAGTCTGTGTATTTTATGTGACCCTGGAGAGAAGACTAAATAGACTGGAGCATTCTTCCTGCTGGAACTGTGTCACCATGTGAAAAACATTCAATATTCACAGGACCTCAGATCAATCCCGAGCAGGGCTGGAGGCAGAGGGACACCTTGTTTCTGATTCTCAGAACTGCCTTACAGACAAGATAAGCATCAGAATACTCAGCTCAGCCAAGGAGCAGTTTCGCACACAGTGAACGTGTAGTAATAACTGAAGCACTACTTCACATTCTGACAGACTAAATGTGTCTATGTGTGCTTAAATAAAATCTGTTGAAAAGTGCTGAAAACAAGAGTATCCGTTACTAATCCTAAACCTAATCACTACAAGTAGCTATAAAATAATGAAGATTTCCATCATAAGGATGAATTTTAAGCAGATGGATAATCTTGCCCTAGAATCTAAATTCTGTCAAATTACCATGAAGTACATGAAGGCAGCTTATATTTAATTATTTTTGCTTACAGAATGAAGGTACTGTATATACTTCACACTCCTAGTGGCAAGACTGGGAATTAAAAAGCATACAGAGAAACTCAAACCAAACAGCCTATTCACATTTCAGTAACTGGCAATATTAACATTAGTTGAGATCAATTTGCAATCCAGCTGAAAAATTCTAAAAGATGTTATTTCGGTATGGGGTTTTTGTTGGGGTTGTTTTTGTGGTTTTGTTTTTTTGGGAGTTTTGTGTTTTGTTTTCAAACTTCATATAAAATATTCTTTAATAGGAAAAAAAATCCTTAGAACAAACAGCACTAACACATGCCACTATTCCTGAATGTAAACTGTGAGACTAGTTAAAAAAAAGTAGTAAACGTGAAAGAGAAGACTGAGGAAGTGAGACAGGTTACTAACCTCAGCCACTACTATTTCAGTGAAAGCGTTCAGTGCTCGTTCAACACCTGATTTTTGTTTGGTTGCCATGAGACAATAATTTTCCATGATTCGCAGTTGAATGTGACCCTGAATGGTCTGAGGCTTGAGTTCCTTCAGAAGATTTTCTGCTGTTCTTACAGCCAACTGCACAGACTCCTGCTTCTCTGTTGAATTACTGTTGTCATCAGAAAGAAAGTGTTTGTAAAAGCTTTTTTTTAATATACACTAATTCAATTACAAGTTAGTACCAATTCCATGCTAAAGGCATACCATTTTGTACAAGATGGCTCTGTTACATAGGCATTCTACACTGATTCTCTTCTGTAACAACACCAGTTCCAACCTAACAAGCTGGTTTTAACACTGCAAGCGACCAGGATTCCTGATAAAATCTTCCCTATTTTCTGCTTGAGGATGACTTATTACAGTCTAGGATGTTCTCTCACAATATAGTAAGTAGAATATTCAAAGCATTAGATGAAGTTCTAGCAATTTAAATTAAGGTACATTATTAAGGGGCAGCAGAGAAAGGGATGACAGAAGAACCCAAGCAATATTTATTTTAGTTGCTTACCCTATGTCAGCATCTAGATTTTCGAAGACTTCACCACCCACAGTTTCATTATCTGGGTTCAAACAAATTTCAATCATGTTGTAGACTGCATTCTGTCCCCAGTCACTGTCCTTTCGAGCTTTATTAAAATGCCGGAGTGCATCATTTGGTTCACCTGTATACCTAGACAGATAATTAAAATATTTAAAGCTGGGCAAGTAAAATTCATTGTCCCAAATCCCAAGAATAAACATGGTGTTTAAACAGATGACACTTGCACACACTCATAACACAAGGTTTGAACAGATGCATACTAATGCAAGGAAATTGGTTTTGCAGGCTAAAACCAGTCTGATAAATTCTAAAATTTGAAAATAAGTGATGTTATATTACTGAAGCTAAAGTATCCCTTTTAATAAGCAGGAAATAAAAAAGATGTAAGACACATAAGACAACTTAATTTTAAAGAGAAGCTCATTGGAAAGTACTTCAGAAGAGAAAAGGAGACCTCTCCCCTAATATCCTAGCACCTTCAGTAATTAGGAAAGCAGTGCTATATTACTTATCACACCATAAGCAGCACCTTTGAATGATAACAGATGACATGAAAGTTAATTTAAATGTGTACTACATAATAAAATAATCCTTATTTTAATCATAAGTACCAAAGATATAGTCCTTTACAGTAGTGAAATCCTGGTTCAAGCTTTGTTCTGGAAGAATGTTTTTCAGCCATTAAAAGAAATCTTGGAACTTCTTCTAGTTTCCCAGCTCTTCTTAACAGGTCAATTAATCGTGAGAGGGTTGCATAGTTATCTAAATATACAAATAATTAGGACACTGTAAGTCTAGTTCTTCGCTGTACAAATAGTTTAAGAAACATAGAGCCTGCTTGGTTTTTTTTTTTTCCACATTCAAAAATGATAAATGGTGTAATACATAAGGCATATTGTTCTTGTCCGAGACAAGCTTCCTGTATTAATCTTGAAATAAAATGCTAGCTTTAAGTTATCAAGTGCACGAACACAAACACAAGAGTAAGTGCTTTACAGTTACAAGTAAATAATACCCTAGCTGTACTTGGCCTGAGGTAAACAATGCACATTACATCACAGCAAATTAAATCACTGTATCTATGAGAAATAATTTTCACATCTTCCCCTACAATAGCTTTATGTTTTTATATACAGTAATTGTCTTTGGGTTTAGTATCCATTACATTATAAATAGCACATTTCTTTTTAATCATATCAAGTATTTTTTAGGTATTTATTGCCCTATCTCATTAGAACTATGCATCAGAAAGAAATAAAAATATCACCACTAAATATTCACCTGGCTTGCGTTCTAGGAGCTGCTGGAAGTGAAAGACAGCTTGTTCATAATCTTGCTTCCTGAACATGAGATCAGCCATCATCTACAATATTGACCAATTCAGAGAAAATAAAACAAAATATTTTAAGTTGTAATTTATAATGAACTTTGGAGAACTAAAGTAGGGAAGTGAAACTATAGATTTAAAGCACTGCAGGAATTGCAGAAATAGTAAACTGACTTGGGTTTTTCATTACTGTTTATACAGAGACAAACAGGATAAGGATGTAGATCTACCTTATGCACACCGTACTTTTCTGGAAGTTCTTTCAGATATTTGCTTTAGTATCACTGTGCTGGAAAAATAACTTCTTCCCTGACCATTAGTCAATTGTTAATAGACCATGCATTAAGCTATGCTTCAGTCAATCTTACAACTACTGCTTTTTCTTCTAGTAGTACTTTTAAAGACACACTTTTGCACTGAGATTGAAGACCGGCTGTGACTGCTAGAAACTTCATATTGCATCATTATCCAGTAGAAACAGAAAAACATTTTGTGGCAAAGTATTTTCCATAAGTTCTTTGAAACCAGAAGCCGTAGGCTTTCTTAAAAGTAGTATTTTATGGATCCATCACCTTGCAGATACACGAACCTCAAAAAACTTCTGATACGGGATTAGTACAATAGCACATACCATCGTTGCTGCTTCATTATCTTGGTCATTTTTCAGTAGTAAGGAACACTGATGTTGGCAGGCATCAGTATCATCTTGTGCAAGATATAAACGTGCAAGTTCCAGCATTGCCTGTAGATTAAAATATTTAGCTATATGTAATTCAAAGATGAAGAAAGCTGGTTCAGTTCTACAAGTATCAACCTGATATATCAGAGCCTCAGGGAAAATTTATTTCTCTTCTAAAGAGAGAGCTTTCTGTGTTGTTTCCTGTGGTCTTTTGGTCAAGTATTTTAACTAATTTCTATTCTCTCACCTTTACAACAGATAAAATTTTTCTTCTTCAGAGGGATATTCTGGAGGTACATTGAAAAAAACAGCTGCTCAGACAATCTTGCTCTGAAGACTACAGTATTTTGGTAAGAATAATTTTCTTGGAAAGAATGTAGATGCAAGTAGTTTTAAATTAATTGACAGAAGCAAATACCTCATTAACATTCACCAATTAGTTGCAGAGTATAAGCAAATTCCAGTAGAAACAGTTTCCTTATTTGCATTTCCAAACCTACCATATGAAGGCTGCTTCTCAGAAATGGATCCACACACAATCGCAGAATAAATATTAACAAACTGATATGTACATAAGCATGCACCCTTAAAGCTGAAGTCCCATCACAGACTATTCTCAATAAAATGCCACAGAAAAGTTTCTAAACACAAGAGTTACCACAGATTTAATCAAGTTCCCATTGAAGCATACTGGAGTTTTGATGCTTAATTTTACATGGTGTTTTGATTTTGTTTTGAAAAAGGAGGCATTTATAATTCAATTGCAATTCCCTCTCTGGTTACACTTGTGAAGAGCACTTCTGAATCAAAATAGTGTTTTGAACATCCTGTTCAGGATATAAAGGCTACTTGCAAATCTATTTAACAACTGTTTTCTTCCTACACCCTGTTATTTATATATTCAAACGTATACTACATAATTCTGAAACAGAATGGCAGGTGGGTAAGCATTGAAAGCATATGGAGACAGCATGTATATAAGAATTTTACTTAGGAAAACTTTCTTCAAGCCACTGTTCTTATGTGCATTAACACAGTGGAAGACCAAAAAGCAGTCTGCTAGTCAAGGAACACTTTCTGCCTTGGGCAAGTCAGAGAAGAATGCCAGTTAAACTGGACTTCTATACTAGTTTCTAGTGACTGGAAGTAGTCTCTAAATTTTCAACTCCAAGCCAAAAAGCAATGCTATTGTAAAATGAAGTGCTTGATGCAGTCTGTGACCTACTTCAAGTCTACATCTAGAAACTGCATTGCCTTACCTACCAGATTTAACTATGTTAAATGAAACAACAACCCAAACCCCTTATGACTTGGTCTGCACTCTCTTCACGTTTAGCTGAGTAATTTGTTTAATGCAACACTTCAGATCTGGTTTGGGTTACTTTGGCTAGAATACAGGAGATATTGTTCTGATGAAACAAGTACAAATAGCTTCAAAGGAATTTCCAATACTTCGATATATAATTTTAAGAAAAGTAAACTCTGTGAAGACATCAAGAAATAGGCGGGTGTTTAACAGCTCAAATTCGTATTTTGTAATCTAAAAGAATTCAATTCTAACTTTGTACTAGGAATGTTTTTAAAAATGAAGGGAAGAAAACAAGTTCAAATCTTGTGAAACTATAGAAAGAGGGCGAAATGACTCATTTATACTAGTTGTGGGCAGACAAAAGTATCTTGTTTTCACTACTCTAAGCAGATTCTTAATCAGAAATTCAGTCTTAGATTTTTCCAAGATGTCACTGTATTCTGTGTTGCTAGCAAAACAGACTAAAGCAAAAAATCTCCAGTAAGTGCATGTAACAGATACTCAGTACAAATGTCAGTGCACACTGTATCTTGTAACAATGGGAATCTCTTAATAGCATGATTGTAGCAAGAATTGAAGGGAAATGCATGCTAGTGTTTCAGTATTGGTGCGAAAGAAAAAAAACAATAAATAAAGGCTTTGATACTGAATTACTGGGATGGCACACCACAAAAGCCACATACCAGACCTTGGAGGTAGGAGAGGAAGTCTGGAGGAAGGAAGGCTGCCCCTTGGTCAAGGAGGATTGGGTTAGGGATTGCTTAGCCAGACTGGACACTCACAAATCCAGGGGCCCTGACGGGATGCACCCGTGAGTGCTGAAGGAGCTGGCAGATGTTATTGCTAAGCTGCTCTCCATCATCTTTGACAGGTCATGGAGGACAGAAGAGGTGCCTGAGGACTGGAAGAAAGCCAACGTCACTCCAGTCTTCAATAAGGGCAAAAAGGAAGATTTCGGCAACTACAGACCAGTCAGCCTCACCTCCATCCCTGGAAAGGTGATGGAACAGCTCATCCTGGCTGTCATGTCTAAAGAGGTGGAAGAAAAGAAGATTATCAGGAGCGGTCAGCATGGATTCACCAAGGGGAAATCATGACTGACCAACCTGATAGCATGACTGGCTGGGTAGATGAGGGGAAAGCAGTGGATGCTGTCTACCTCAACTTTAGCAAAGCTTTTGATGTTGTCTCCCATCACACCCTCACATGTATGTTTAGGAAGTGTGGGATAGATGAGTGGACAGTGAGGCGGATTGAGAACTGGCTGAAGAACAGAGCTCAGAGGGTTGTGATCAGTGGTTCAGAGTCCAGTTGGAGGCCTGTAACTAGTGGTGCTCCCCAGGGGTCAGTATTAGGTTCGGTCCTATTCAACATATCCAGAAGGGACAGAGTGCACCCTCAGCAAGTTTGCTGATGATAATGAACTGTGAGGAGTGGCTGATACACCAGAAGGCTGTGT